CAATGTATGAAAATGTCATTGCTAGGGATGAATGAAGCAGCTCTGAAAATGAAAATCAGCCCAAATCTTTCAAAAGGTGTTAAAAAAACTTCAGGTAATTTCATATTCTCTCTCCCTTCTGCCACTTCTCAGGTACTTCTACAAGTTCCGGCACCTGAAATATCATCATAATTGATTTTTCTAGACAAAGGAAGTGCTTACAGCTAATTATCTAAACTTAAGTACAGCATTTGGTACAGTGCCATGTGGGAAATTATTACCTAAAAGGGGAGATAAAAACAGAAATCAAAAAGTGAATAAGAATGTGAGGGTAGGAGGAGATCAGGACTGAGGGAAGGTAGTAAGGCTTCTCAAACATCAGTCTTGGGCCTAGTAATATTTAACATTTTTAATTAATGATGATCCCATAAAAAAGTAAGTGTGTGCTAATGGAATTTACCAGTGGCATAAGGGAGGCAGGCACTGTCACTGCAAAGATGAATAACACTCTCATTTAGGAAGAACTGAGTGACCTTGAGAGTAGGAGAAATCAGCCAAAATTCAGAAGGGTTTGACTGCCAGTTTAGGCATCTGGGTTGTGTTATTCAGGTTTCTACTATACCTGCATTCTCACAGATACTAAGGAAGGGAAAACACAGACCATACAAATCTGGGTATTTTTGCCAGGGTAATGAAACACCTGTAATGGTGTATGAGGCAAGTGTTAGAAATTGGCCAGGATGGTGCACACAATTCACAAATTATTTGCTTCAGTTTTGGGAAACTATGGAAAAAGATGATTAGGGTGAGCATGGAAAGGAGAGACTGCAGTGCAGAGGAATTTGGTAAAATGAATGTTGAGAGAGGCCACTATAAATACTGCATGGGCATAAGCTCTAGGAAGAGAAAACATCTATTTAAACTGAAGGACAACATTGGCACAATAACAAATGAGCATAAATTGGTCATGAATAAATTTTTAGGGTAGGAACTGGAAGCAGGTTTCCAAACAACAGAATAGCAATGTTCTGCAATTGCTTTCCAGTGAGAACAGTGGAAATAACAACAACAAATCCCAAGCTACTTTTAAGATGGACTTAAATGAGTTTCTGAAGGGTATTATATGATGTGTTTGGCTAAGATAGCAGAGAAGTAGACTTGACGACGCAAGAGATCTATGCAGTCCTATCTGTCTGAGCCTGTTTTTCATGACCAAATATTTCAGAGCACTTTTAAGTACTTCCTTTCCTTCATGTATTTTTTAGATAATTTTTTATAGCATACTGCAGTGACTGCTAGCTGGACTGATTTAGGAAAGGCACAAAACAGTGGTGCCTAAAATATGCCGAATACTCTCCAAACAAAACAAGACAAGTGTGCAGTGTCCTACAGGGCAGTGCTTGGGTGCTTAAAGAAATCACCATTTTCTGTGAAGGTGATGGGGACATAATCCCAACAGGAGCAGCACCCCTTTGAGCCTCAATTCTCTTTCATTTCCCTATGCTCCCAACCTGCTGCTCTATTTTGCCTTCTCAGCCCCATGGCATAGATGCAGCAGTGTGAAATAGGATGGCAAACAATGCTTTAGATCCACAAGATAAAATGGATAAAACCTGGAGCATTCAGTATGAGCCTGACTGGATGCCAAACTGCAGTGAAGATGGCTTGTTTGGGGGTATTCCTCTACCCTCACAAGTGTGGTACAGAGGTGTGTTAGCATGTCATGGTGTATCTTCTTTCAGCCCAAGAAGCCCCTATGTCCTTTGGTTTGGTTTATCCTGCTTGGTGCTGTTGTGGTCTGGTTTTACAGTTATTAGAAAAGCCTCTGCCTGAATTAAGGTGCAAATGAGACCATATGCCGAAGTCAATAGTATGGATGTTATTTAATAGTAAATATAAGGGAGAGAGAGAGTGTGAGAGAGAGTGAAAGAAAGAAAAAGAAACAGAAAAGGTGTGGGGGGAGGGGGGGGGGGGCAAGAGAAAGAGAGTGACAGAGACAGAATAAAGACAATACCACCACTTCATGGATCCCAGCAATGTTTCTTTGATCCTCTCCAGCTGGTCTTCTTGGTGGTGAGGGTCCCTTGAAAAGCACAGAATCCAATTAAATAATATATGCTCAGGCCAGGTGGGAATGCCCAGGTACCTCCCCCCTGGGTGGGGGACAGTTTGATGGTGTCTCACAAGAGGTCTGTTGCATCACTTTGTGTCCCCTGCAATGCTGTGGTGCCAGGCCTCAGGAATGAGTCTGGGGAGCACTTTGGGGGGGGTCTTTGATGGATTATGACACCCCCCTCAGCTGCCTCCCATGTGGATGTCCCATGCATGTGGCCTGTGGGGCTGGGGATTTCACAGCTGGGCCTCTTTGTTCAGTGCCTCTGACCAGAGTTTATGCCATGCACAAAAAGCCTCCTCCCTGGCCCTCAGTTGTGGGAGGGTCTGTGCAAACCTGGCCTCTGTAAGCTGTGGTCTCCCCCACCCCAAACATGGCCAGAGGTGATTTTCAATGCAGCTTCTGGGTTTGGCTTTCTTGTGGATTCATTCTTCTCCCTCAGCCTGAGATTATTGAACAATAGTGTCCCCTTTATGTTATCTATATGGCTTACCTCAGGGTCCAAAGTTCCAGTCAGGCATCTTTAGGGAGGGGTGGGCTTCTGTGCTTGTAGCTTCTTTGTACAGTTTTTGCTATAATGGGCAAAACTGTTTCATAACAATGTTTAAGGCATGAACCATTTCAGTCCCTGACAGGTGCCTCAATGTTACTGTCCCTTGTTCCCAAACGCAGGATTTCCAGGATTTCTTAAAAGCTGCAATTCCCCTAGTTAGTGGGGCCGTAAAGGGACTTGTATGGAAGCCTGGGGTTGAGATTCAGTAGCTGGACTTTTATAGATTTCTTAACCAGACTAGCAAAGTTGTGTGTTTACAGCTGTTTTACAGTAATAGATGCTTCTTCATCCAAGTGCTGGAGAATGCAGGTTGGCTGGGTGAGGCGGTGACTCCACATTAGCAGAGGAACTCACAGTGAAAAGTTTTATGATTTTCTTTAGTTGAAATCTAATGAGTGGGACAATGAAATTTGCAGAATTAAATGATTCTGGCTGGTTTTCCTCTCCAGCTAATTACACACATACTTTTTCTGAAATCAGCTATTAATATTGAGAATAGGTTAAGAAATTGGAAAGTTGGATGAAATCCCCAAGAGCACAGGTAGTTTGGAAATAGGCAGCAGCTTTACAGCTTGTTGCTGTCCACATTAATCAGATTTGCAGTAGGCAGCAGCTACTTTATGTGCAAATACTTTAACAACTGGTTTAAAAACACCAAGCAGGATGTCTGAGTCCCCAGATTCACGTAAAGGAGGTAATGAATACCTGCATAATGAGATAGAAAGGCCATAAACTCGGTGGTGGGAGTTTTCAGTCTCTCTTCAGCTGAGATTTCTGCAGCTTTCTCAGCCTCTCAGTGCCAGCCAAGGAGGCAGTCACTTGCCAAGGTCTCCCTGTGGGGAAAGAGGCTCTTGGTCTTCAAACGCTGCAGCTTTGCCATCAGTGACTTTGTGCAGTGCTCCATGCACGAGCTACCCTGTGACTCTGGGATCAGAAATACCCACCCCTCAAAAGGAAAAACTAAAGCTAGTTTGAAAAAAAATATTTCCAAGGAAAAACTATATTGAAGATCAAAAAGTAAAGACATTGCACTGTTAAATGGTTGAGAGAAAAGACTTTGAAGTTTAAAAAGAGCGGCCATTATTTTTGCTATTTTTAAATTTCATTTCTCTTCCTGAACTGTGTGTATCTTAAAAGCTATTTTTTCATGTATCCTTAACTTCAACAAGGACACATCATCTGCGAGCACCTGGATGAGATTATTTCATTCTGTCCTGTCCTGCTACTAAACTCAATTTAAAAGCAATCAATCATAACCACAACCTATACTTATTGCTATATTTTAGTGACTTCTTGCTCACACACACAGGTGTGGGAAGGTGGCTCTTCAAGAGAGGGTGCCAGCCTCATGCCAGGGAAGAATTTAGCCCTGAGCTTGCTGCAGGCTCATGGAAATGTGCTCAGTTCTTCCATGGGTGGAAATATCTGTGGGGTGGAAACATCTGTGGGGCACATTAAAGCACATTGACAGCTTGTTTGCAAACAGCTGTGCATGTGCGTGTGGGAGCATTCAGTTGGCAAGTACTGAGGAATTGTCTTCAGTCAGAGCAGGTGAAGAGAAATGGCTCTTTCAGACATGGCTCGGGATTTTGGATGCCAGTTCATGCCGCACATGAAGGCAGCATTGGCACCAGCGGCATCTGGGAAGGTGTGAGGGGTCTCCTTGTGTGTGCAAAGAGAAGTGACCACCGTGACATTAACAGTGCTTAAACAGCACCAAAGCCTTTGAAAGCAGCCCCTGAGGTGAATCAGCCGGGGCTGGTGTCTGTGGCACCGCGGCAGCTGGTGCGGAGCTGGGGCTGTGCTTGCACCTGCAGCTCTGGTGAGACAGCGAGCTCAGCTGACTTCCTCTAGCCTCATCCCCGGGGACTGTAAAAACAAGAGGTTAAAAAACCCGAAACAAACCCTCCTTGGAGTAACAATCCTCTCGGGTTAACAGCAGGAGAGGGAAGCGCCTGGCGCAGCGCTGGCAGCAGCGCCCCGGTCCTGCCCTCGCCGTCCCAGCCATGGGCCCGGCCATCGCGCCTCAGCGGCGCCGTCCCGCCGAGCAGAGCCACATGGCCGAGAGTGGGTGTGAAGTGACACCTCCGAGGAGAGCTGTGAGGGCGCGAGAGCCGTACAGCCTACGTAAAAGGAAGGCAGAAAGGGGAACAGGAAAAAAACCCACAAAAATTCTGTGCTCGTTCCTCACTCTTCCCTCAGTGCCGTCTCACCCCGTGCAGAGGCTTCAGAGGTGTGAACACATCCTGTTTACATCTGCCAGCGAGACGCGGAGGCTGAGGGAGCGCGCGGCTGGGGCGCACTCGGAGGAAGCGCCAAGCCCGGGAGAACGGCTGCAGCGGGACGGGCCCTGGCATGGACACGGTGCCCGTCTACCACGGGGCCATCACCCGAGAGGCTGGGGAGAAGCTGCTGCTGGCGGCGGGCACGGACGGCAGCTACCTGCTGCGGGACAGCGAGAGCATCCCGGGGGTGTACTGCCTCTGCGTGCTGTGAGTGGGGCCGGGAGCGGGCCGGGAGCGCGGGCCGCCAGGGCTGCTGAGGGGCAGCTGGCTGCCGACGGGCCCCCCACAACAAAATGTGTTCCAGTGTTACCACCTGCTTACGTGAGTGAGGCTTTCGGCTCCTTCAGGTCAGGATAGAGGTGGGCAATAAGTGGTGTGGGGTCCCACACCAAGCAAAGAGGAGCGGGTTTTGCCTTGCAGAGCCCATGCATCCCACAGGCAAAAAGCCATAAAGAGGAAGCAGGCAGGCACATGGGAAGGATAAGCAAGGTGCCATGGAGAAATGCCAGGCGACTTGGCTCGGGATGGTGTGTACTGCCTCTTTGTGCTGGATAACACTCTTGCCTTCTGCCTGTGTCCTTCTGCTTCCCTAGTGTGCTCATGGGTGTGCTCAGCAGCATCCCCGGTCACCCTGTCACTGGGAAAGGTAACACCGAGTGCTGCCATCCAGAATGTGCCTTTGTTCAGGATGCTCTCAGTCCCACAAGCTTGTGGCTTGTCCCACAGGACACGAGGCTTGGAGCAAACTACCTGTAATGGACATAAAATACTGATGGTAACAAACTAGGTGATAATGTTTCATCAAATAGGATGAAAAGGGAGAGATCTGATGGGATGATCTGTCCGAGAGAAGGCAAAGGTTCCCCTGGGAGAGCTGGGGGCCTTTATATTCATAGGACCTCATTTTAGTGAGGAAACTTAATTACCGTACTGTTGGCAAAATTCTTGGAAGTCCTGGTGACGCCGTACTGTTGCATCAGAAAAACAAAGATGACATTTATGCTTGACTTCAGTAGGGGAAGGAACACTAGAGAAAACCCTTTTAGGTGCAGCATGAAATCAGCTAACAGAGGGAACTCGGGTACCTGGCAAAAAAGAGGAAGACGGTCCTAAGTCAGGTTTTCCCCAGATCCCATGAATACATTTCTGACAAGATGTAATTAAGCCCTGGGTGAGCATCATTATCTTCCAGTTATAGACCAGTAAATGGAGACATGCAAGAAGGTTATAGCAATCCAAAAATACACAATACGCTTCTCAGGAAAAGTCTTTGTGGCAGAGGATGTATTTTTTCTTCTCTCATGAAATCAGGTGAACCAAGTTAGGTGCTCCTGCTAACAAATACCTTAACAGAGAGCTGAAAAATGGGAAATAAGAAGCATCTTAAGTTAAATGAAAATGGAATAGACATAGCAAGATGTGAGGAGTGCTATGATTCCTGTGATGGGAATAGGCAATAAAACCAGAATCTCTTTAAAATAACTATTAGAGGAAATGGGGATATACCAGCCTTACACTCAGGAGTCATTCAGTGCAGGTGAAGCATTAAGGCATTAGAGAAAGGGTCAGGAAGAGTGTTACAATGCTGAATAAGACAGAAAATAATAGAATTAGTCCACCATCAGTCTTAATCAGGATGTAGGTACGTAACAAGGTCGTTCAGTAGTACACAATCAGTTGGGATTTTTTGTATACTGGTAGTAATTGATGCCCTTTGAAAGAAATTTAATTAATTTACTAAAATATGGAATATGAGAATAGGAAGAAATTAAAGCATTTCTAACTGTGAAGCTCTGCAGTCTTTGGAGGAAAAGACACTTCAGTAAGAAACAGACCAAATTGCTTCTAAAATTATGGGCCATTCATATCTCCATGGTATGTTGCATTGAAACATATGTATGATAAACAAAAGGGTAAAAGCAAAAAAAATATTAATGGTGAGTGTTCTGAAGGCTCAGAACATAGATCCTTAATAGTTATTCTATAAAAGAAATTTGAAATAGATAAAATCTAAATGAAAAATATTATGATGAGTATGAACTGATAGAGAAAGAAAGGTGGCTAAAAAATGGTAGAATTAAGCCTTGGTTCCAATGCTTCTTAACAGTCAGTTCAAATAATTATGTAAGGAAATAGCAGATATGGGAAACAGCATGTCACACAATAACTGTGGAGACAGTTTTTATACCAGGAAAGGATCCCACACTGAGAGCAATGACAGTTTGAAGAACTGTGGGCTATAAACTAGAGAAGTGCTTTGACAGGCAAAGTTTGCCAAAGCAGAGCACTTTAGTGGAGAGACTGGAGGAACAGGAAGGGAAGGTTGAGAGATGGAGATACGTATTTGGCAGAGAATGCTGACCCTGGCTTTGGCAAAGGAACCAATGGACATAACCTGTCCAAATTCCAGTCTGAACATCATGGGCAGAGATGGAATAGGTGACAAACATGCATGTGCAGGGCAGCTCTGGTGAAAACTGAGGGAAGTGTGCAGTTGCTGTTTTTACTCTCTAAGAAAATTAAAGAAAGAATAAGTATTTATCTGCTTTTTAAAGTACTTCATTCTAAATAAATAATGGAAATTATTAGGAATAACAAAGTTATTCAGCAGTTTACATTGTAGTTCAGAATCCATGCTGAAGATCACTATAAGAATATATTGACATACAAAGATCAGACAAAAGATTAATTTACTAGAAGTAATGAAGTGATCTTTGAAACATGGGGAATAAAGCTGATCAGCCATTAGATATACTGCAATAAGTATCAGAGCTAAACAAAATATTTTGCATGTTTCCAGTGAAAAATTCTACCAGAAGTGTGTATGTTTTATACTGTAGGTAGTGTTTCTATTGCCATTAGAAAACAAAAAGAGAAAAATAGTCCAGTTTTCCAAAATCAAGACATGTTCAGTCTGTCTTCTTTCCCCTCTCCCTCCACTTACCTGGGGAACTAAAACAAACCAAAACAAACACTGTCCTGCAGCTTCCCAGTTCTAACCCTTTTTAGGGTTCCTTTTTCTGTCAACGGGGAATTACAAGGCACAGTTCTGATGAAAAGAAATATTTATCAAAAGAGCAATTAAGCATATATTTGGATGACAGTGGTGTCATCTGCTTGAATTCACATTAGTGGCTGCTCTGCAGTTCCAGCTCTAGGTACTGTAATTGTCAAGCCCTGTGATTTCACTGCATGCTTATGCTCAAACAATGTCTCCTTTCCCCAAGAAACTGCATAAATTTGTAATGCCACAGTCACCACCACATCTTCCTCCTCAAGCACCTCCAAAAAGCCCTGACATATTTTGGCAGGCTTTGAGCCTCTTAAGGCACACAATGAGTACTGCAGTGTTCATGGTCAGGCTCATTCACCTTTTGCTTTTCCAATTAAAAAGTGGAGCCCTGACCTTTAAAAAGGAGAAGAGTCAAAGACTTCATGAATCCCTTGTGACTGACGCTGATTTTACAGGGCAGGCATAAAAGAGACAGGTAGTAGCATAAAACCTGACCTATAGAGGTGGGTAACTGCAGCAGGCAGCACCCTGTTGGAGCATTCATCTAGAAAACTCTGCTTTCTCTCCTCTTTGTTTCTGCTGAGCTACTGATTTATCTCCCTTGAATGCCACTTTCCACTTTCTGAAGCTGAGATATGCACATGGTGTGCCTGAAATCCTTCAAAGACACAAATAATATTTTCTTGGTGTGACTGCAACAAAGCACAAAGGACCCACTTTCAAAAATATTTTAAGAGCACAATTAAACTATACATGGAAGAGTAGGAAGGTTTTGATTTGCAATTGTATGCTCCGGGGCTCTTGCAAACAGAGGTGCTACTTTCAGATTTTGGCAATGATTTTAATACCAGATGCTCCTGGGTCTTCACTGTATGAATATCGTTATTGAATTGATAATATTTACTTTAAGGATGTTGTGAATATGTCAACAGAGGTACACAATCCTTTCCTGGAAACTTTTAGAGTTGCACTGAAAAGCAAGATTTTTGCTGTTCCTGAGAACTGGTCTAGAAGAAATGCATATGGTTTATAAAACATACACGTTATACCCATAAACAAGTTAGACTCTACACACAGTACCACCAGCGTTTTAATATCAAGCCTGATTGTTCCAGGGAGCTTTCTTTACTGGTCTGGTTTCCTCTTTGCTCAATGCCCCATTTGACATTTTTAGCACACTCAGAAATCCTCTGTGCTCACAGCTCCTAATGAAGTCAGCGGGGGACACGGGGCACACTAATGGTGACTACTTTGAGGAGCAGCCTCTTCAGCCCTGCCTGAAAAATGCATAAAGAAAGTGCCTGAGAGTGCCAAAAGCCCCATGATCCTTTACAGATATATGAGCAGACATGCAGAAACAAGCAGCTCATGCCTGAACTGGCAAAGATAAAGCATTTGTAGTTTGGGTTTTAAAATTCACATGCTTGAAAATACTGAGAATGTTAGTAGTTTCAGAGCTGTAAGTAAGACAAACACGATGTGCTTGTCAAACTGTATGTTCAGATGATTTGTTTGAAACCAGCTGTTTGTGAACTGTGCTGCATTAAATTTGTGGAGAATAATCAAAAGCTGGAATTGAAAGCTGTTTAGAGCTCTTGAAGCAGCAGTAATGGCAACAGGGATAGGCTGCAGTCCTATCAGATTTTACGTGTGCTATTTTTTCTGTCACTGCAGCCATGGTGCACAAGTTCAAGGCAACGTGCCAAAACTTTCTGATGAGACAGATCCATCAGCTGTACAGTACAAAGGTGTAATACAGGGTCACAAGCCAGCCTCAGCTGAGCATTTCCTTTGTTTCCTATGTATTCTTTTTGATAGACATGGCAGAATAATTGCATTTTTTTATGACACTGCACATCATCATCATAATCATCATTTAAGACATAATTTGAAACAAAATAAGCAGACCTTCAATTCAGCATAGCTGCTGCAAATATCACACACTGTTTTCAGCTTTGAAAAAAGTCTTCTATAGCACAATGGTAAATTTCTCTGAGGTGAGTATTTCAGGTGCCTGCTTACCAGAGTGAGTGTTGTCTTTGCTGAGCATAACTTATCTAATGATTTTCACATATTCCAATGACTTTTCTTGGAAAGATAGACAGCCTGAATCATGGAATTGATGAAATTTAGTGGGAGGCTACGTTATTGGCCTGATGTAAGGTAGTAGCCTTCTAATTAGCATCTCAGATTT